GAAGAGCAGATATTCTCTATCTGGCACGTGACTAGGCAGTTTTATCTGCTGTTCCTTATTTTTCTCTCCAAGTTCAGATTTTTAGATTATAGCTTGTTATTAACTTAAGGTTTTGGCTGATTTTTACATAGAATACCCTTCCAATATGAGATTCCTACTTTGGGTTTTGTGTGGAAAATTTTATTCAATTATGAATCTGTACTTGTTCGGTTCCATTTCTTCCTCAGGAATTCCATTTATATGTGTGATCAACCATTTTCCTCAGCGTTATAAATCTATGACTTCTAAATTCCTTTGATCATGTCTCCCGTTACATTGGTATGTTATTTTTGTTTCTATTTTTTCTTTTTCATTTGTTTCTTATACTACTTTAACTGATTCTAGTAATTTTTGTTCCTACTGTCTTCTTCTAATACTCTTCCATTCGGTGGCTATCTGATCACTGTAGTCTTCCAGTTAACATGCAATCTTCATCAACTTTGTGATGCTCAATTTCCTTTGGTTGTATTTGAAATGTTAAGCTAAAGTTTTTATTGAACTTTGCTTCATAGCACATTGCTCGGTGTTCACTATTTTAGGTTACTTCATGCTGCAGCTATTCTGCTTTATTGGGAGGGTCTTCTTAAGTTTGAGCAATCTCTAGGTAGTGATGAGTGACAGCCAGTCAGCAGAGCATTCCCAGATCATGGTTGTAGAGAACTTCTTCAGCATCTCCTAAGTTTACAAGCAGAATGGCGTGACTCCTGACTTCTTGGGTCTTCTCATCCTTTGCCCTTTCTACTTGCTTGAAGTCTGCCTCCACTGTGCATTATTCATTGGGGATCTGTTCTTCCATGGCGAATGTCAGTTGGATACTTCTGAAGTAACAGCTCCGTGGCCACCTCAACACAATCTTATCTCAGTCTTCCTACTCAGTCACACTTGAGAGGATTCCACTCCAGGCTAGACCTTCAGGTGGATTTCCTTGTGACCCACAATTTTCTGTTTCAAAGAAGTTGGACAATTCTCTTTGCTTGCCACAGCTACAGAAGTGTGACGTTGCATGTTCCTCGGTGTTCTACAGTTTGTAAGAATGGCCTCCTTTTGGCAGAAAGTATTACCGATAGGATTGTTTTTTCACTAATCCAGATGATCCGGCATCTTGTAATGGGAAGATTTAAAAACTGAGATTAATTCTGGGGTCTTGCCCTTACTGGAATGTATTTCACTGTCTTTGCTGTTGTTTTCAGCTACACCACTCTCCTGTTCTCCTCTTACCTCACAATTTTGTTTTGTTTTTAATCAGAGAATTAGTTGCCAGGCCTTCTTCACTTTTTGACTTCTCAGTCATAGATGCAGAAGTTAGTTCTGGGATATTTTCTTTCTTCTCTGAATGCTTAGCTCTGAAGGGTCTCATCTACTTGTCTACTGTCAAGGCTTTAAGGCCATCCATATTTTGGTGACACTGAAGTTTGTCCAAATCCCTAAATGTTCTCCTAACCCACATGCTCATGTCTAAATTTCCACACTCTTATAACCAACCCAGTGTCAAGAACTTGTGACCCCGCTGGCAGCACATGGTCACTAGCTATGACACCTGCAAGGGATGGTCACTGATTAGTACCTTGGATTACTGTCAGCAAGCAGTCAGTTCACTTTTTAAAAGTGTAAGCCAGATAATGTGTGTCTGTGCAGAAACCACTAATGATATTCTGTTGTACTTGAAACAAAATTTCTTAGCAAAGCATTGAGGCCCTACACAATTAGAGACTTCTGTAAGGTTATTTCCTGTATGCCTTTCCATCACATTGACCCTGGTTTCGTAGTTTCTCTGACACTCCAGGTGTCTCCTGCTTCAGTACCTGCCCAGCTGACAGATGTGCCCTTTAATGACTCATTCATTACATCTGTTTCAAACCGTGTCATCACTGAGCCCCTCCTGAGTGATCAGCCTAAACAGCACTAAGTATTGCCCACTGACCTTGTCTGTCTCTTTATTTTCCTTTGCATCACTTGTTACTAGATGAAAATGCATTTCTGCTCTCTTCCTTAATGAAATAGAACTTTATGAACCTATCACATTCTCTGCAGTGCTCAGGCATGTGTCTCAGATCTCAGCCCCTGCCTTGTGTACTGTAAGAGCCAATAAACACTATAAAGCTCTTCTCAAATACCATCTCTGACTTTTATAGTCTTGAGTTTAGGCCCACCATGTTACCTGCTTTTCTGCATTAAAAAACAAATTCTTGTCTATTGTGTTTTTCTTTCAGTTCTGTAATTTTACTTTAATTTTCATTCATTCATCCTGCTAGATTCATTTTTTTATTTATAGTATGAGGAGAGATGACTTCATATGTTATTGCCTGCCCTGCTTCTTTTTAAAATATAACCAATTTATTTAAAAAGATGTATTTATGTATAGGTGTTTGCCCAGCGTGTGTGTTATGCGCTCCATGTGCATGCAGTACCCATGGATTCCAGAAGAGGGCGACAGAGCCCCAGAAGCACGTGTGTGGTAAGAACAGAACCCAGGTCCTCTGAATGAGGGCTCTAAGCCACTCTAGCCTCATACCATGATCTTTTAGGAAGATTATTAACTAATTTATATCTGTTTAAAATATGACTTGTAACATAAAATTATAAATAGAATATCTCTTAGAAAGTCTGTTGTTTTTACTTTAAATATGAGTAAATTTTGATGTGCACATTCTAGGCATTTCTGCCAAACTGTGTTCTTTCATGCTGATAAAATTCCTCTCTGCTAGCCATGGATAGCGGTGGTTTATTACAGAATCTAAAATAAATTAAGCCAGCATACTTGGCTATGTCAATGTACTGTCTCAAACAATATGCTTAAAGATGTTGTTTGCAGTTTGTTCCTAAACATACCAGAAACTCAGACAGCATACTGTACATTGTGGGGATGAGAGAGAAAGATAAATTCTAATTCAGAAGGACATTCTGATTTTTGGCTTTCCTAAGATATTATAATAGGACCATGGAACTTATTTCTCTCTGCCCTGCAATTGGCCAAAAGCATGGAGCTGTGTAAGAATTCTCACCTACTGGGTTTAAAGCCTGCACAGCACAGAACCCTCCACACCCATTCACACATACTAAAACTCATTCTAAAACCATCTGTGCTTCATAACACAAGTGGAGTCCAGGCCTTTGCCCTGAGGGCTGACTATCTAACAATGAGACACATTTGTTTAGTTTGCTAAACAAAATCATTCTTTCTCATTCAAGAGATGTAATCATGTGTCTGGTATTTATTTGGTATGCCTCCCCTTTTCTTATTACTTACTTCACAGTTTTAGTTTAGTTTTGTGTCGGATTAAATGAGTGAAGCTATATAGGCAAAGACAGTAGGATGTGATAATTGACATCAAATAGCCAAATATTAAGTTAATAGGGGAAAGGTATAGTCTGATAGTCTAGCCATTTGGTTCTGGATCTTCAACTCTGTTTCAAATTGGCATTTTTCTTTTATCTACATAGAATCATAATAATTTATGTCAGTAGAGTTCAAAAAATTGAATTTTTGAAAACAAACAATTGAATGTGTCCTGTGTTTTACATTGGGCTTCAAAAGTTGGGTAAATGTAATATTTGACCACAAAAATCAAGAAACTCCTACTTACTTGGTTATATGTCTGACTGAAGTCCATCACTCGGTTCTGTGACCTTCCAAGGAGAAAGTCATGTGGAGGAAAATAACCTAACCATAGTCACTCCTACTACACCTATCTGGAATTCACCCACAGTGTGCTTGTGTGTGAGAGAGGGTTGAAAATCGAAAATAAATGGAAGTCATCATATAAAATGTATTTCGGGGGTAGGGAAATGTATTTCAGTGTTAATATTCACCTAGCATTAGTTTATAGATCATAAGGATGGAGGTGAAAGAGATTCTTCAAAAAGTAACTTCGTAAAAGACAGATGACTCAGTAAAACCTTCCCATGTCAGGACTGTTTCTCATGAGTTCACACCCTTCTGCTTCCCTGCATCTCTCTGCTTGTGTCCTCTGTTTCCATTCAGATTGAGGCCTTTATTCTGTTTTTCATCTCCCACACTTTACCCCTCTTTTTCTACCCTCCCTCTGATGTCTAAAGTGGACAGTTGCCCACATGGGGACACTTGCCTTAGTACATAAGCAAAGCTTCTCCAACTCCAGCCATCCCAGAATTACTCCGACAGAGTGATTTTTCCAGCCCAATCCTCCCTTCACAGTCAAAGAACCTGTGCTATCCCTCTACACTCAAATAAGACATACTGTGAACACAACTTCAAAAAGCTGAGCTAGAGATCTCCACTGGCCATATTCACGTCTGCATTTCATTGCTTTGAAACAGCTGGTCATCTTGGACCCTTCATCATAACTTGCTGTTTCTAGCCTAGAGAATATGCACAATGGCAAAAGCAAACAAAAGCAACAGTGTTGTAAGCTATGAGCTAATGGTTAACTTTCACCCCCAGAACTTCCAGAAAGCAGCATGGAGAACGTCAAGGATAAAGGTGTAGGGAAATAGATCCTGCCCCAGTTGGATATGGATATCTAGCTCGGGCTAAACATACATCTTTGAGGGCTGCCAGTAGTGGATAACACATTTCGATATTTTTAAAAACAGTGAAATGAGCAATTCCTTAAAGATACAGCATCCCCCCCATATATGCCCAGGAATCCGTTTTGGAAGCTGATCCAATGATTACTACTGGGACGCAGAATTTTTGACATCCATTTGGTACTGATTTACACCAGGATTTTTAAGGCTGCCAACAAGAAAGTCCAGAATTTCAGGCAGCCAAAAATTCCACAAGAGACAACTGTCTTTTATTTTATAGCTTATGAATTTGGGGCTTAATATGATTTTCCACTAACAAGTTCTGTACCCCCTCCTGAGTGCCAAAGCTGGTGTAGAGGTCAGCAAAGTAACACGGAACAGATGAGGCAGCTTAATACTCAACTTGAAGGAAGACAGTTGAAATGGCATTGTTTACTTAGGAAACAGCACTCTGGTTTAAAGGGCTGATGCGCGATTTATTAGAAGCACTCAAGCAACATGTTCACATCTTACCCTCCACTCGACTCATGGCCATTATTCGTTGAGGCAGCAGCGCTGGGAATGGGATTAATAAAGTCATCAATTAAAGACCTGCTAAATATTGGTAGAGAGCTCTAAATATGTCTTGTCTTCTGTTTCTTACGAAATAGCAAGGATGAAAACACCCACAGAATCATGTTCAGTAATAAATCAAAGGTGAAAAACTTAGGAAAGAATTCGACGAGTAGCTCCCTTTTTAAATAAAAAGCCTAAGTGAATGGAGGACCCTTTTAAAAACAAGGCATTCATGGTTAGCACGGGTAATTCTGCTACAAACTCAAGCTTTCACATATAATTAGCAAAAGAAACCACTAAGAGTAGCTTCCTCTGATCAACAGGTTCTACTGAAGAGTCAAGAGACAACCCATTGGCACCGTGAAATAACTTTTGTTTTTAACACAAATCATTCAATTTCTTCTTCAGATGCCCCAAAGATGAGAGGAGACATGAATTGGCGCTGCAATACTTAAATGGCCCACACGTGAATTCCCTAGAATTCCAGCTTCTCCAAAACACTTCGTGGCCATCACACTTGTTACTTACTCAGGTGGTTTAGACATATGCTCTGCATTTGAGTCAACAAGAAGACGCACTCATATCTTCTATCAGCATAGGCAGCTATCTAATTACTGACTTCCTAAACTGGATATCCAAGTGCCTCTGCAATGGTTTTAAGTAAACACGAATTATTTCACATAGTTCCTCAGGTGGGATACATGGAAAAATAAATAAATAAAAGAGCTACGTCTAGGGCAGAAGCCCACCTGACCTACCTAGAAAATCACCCAGATGCATTAGAAACTTCACACTGGAATTCCTAGAAAGTGACCCCAAATTCTGCCCCTCCCATGAGAGGATGACTTATAGAGCATCATTTTCAGGTCGCACTCATCCTCCTAGTGGGTAAAAGTATTTCTGATGTCCTATTGGTCCATCAGAGAGGAGTGATCCGTCATGTAAGCACCAGATAGCCAGCATGACTGTGCTTCTGAATTAGGAACTGTGTAAGGCAGAATTCTTCACATCCCATTGTGGAAGCAATGATAAGTAAATGGATAAAGACTTCTGACACCCACCCTCAACTTTAATAGTACAAACTTTCATGTATAAAAAAAAACTTCATTTAAAAATACACTGCTAAATTACTCTATGAAATTTATAATTAGCTAGTAACATAATTTTATCTACACAAACTTTAAAAATGGGCATTGAACAGATAAACTATCTCATACCCAAAGTTGCTATGTGTTGAAGAACATAAAATGAAGTAATTTCTATAAATTAATCTTCAAGGTTTCTTATGTGAACAGAGCACTGGAGGGGCCTCCCTTGTGGAGGAGGCTGAGATGGCATGTCTCTGGCAGCAGACTGCTGCCTAAGCACTGTCCTGTCCACCTCAGCCATACATCAAGAACACACTTTCTGCCTCATTCAATCAAGAATGCTTATTTGGCTAGAGTCAGCCCAGAGTCATGAGAAATTCCAGTCATAACTTCTGATGATTACATAAATCATAAATTCTAAACATTAAAACAAACAAACAGGAATAACAAAACAGACTAGTTAATGTCCACAAACGCGAGTCCTGAGAGCAACCCAAGAAGTCTAAAAGAGGGAGTAACTTCTCATTTAGGCTGGAAGAACGCCGAGAGACTGAAATGGGCAAGATTTGAAAAACAATGTCTACGTGAGATTCCCCGCGCCTGGGTAAGAAAGAACTCATCGTGCCAGACGCTGCGTCTGTCTTCGTATCCCTCTGCTGAGTGCTGAATGAGCAGGGGTCAACAGCACAGTCTCCTTATGTGTGGACTTCCGCTTCGGCTTTCAGTTCACGGCACGTGTCGCGTCTGTGTGTTCCTACGGGTTCCCCATCTGGCGACTCTGGTGACCTGGCAGGCGTCTGCATCGTCAGTAGGGAAAGAGATGGAGAGAAGCTGGGAGTCATGGCTTCTGCTAGGGAGCTGCCATAGCAGGGAAGGGGAGATCGGGGGAATTTCTGAAGAACCTGCCCCACGGTGAGGGCTGGCATTCGTGGGGGAACGGCCTTAATCCCAGGCTGTGCTACTGCTGTTATCAAAGGGGGTGGGAAAACATAAGGTGCGTCTTTTGGGATGCCAGGCATCTGCAGATCTTCATCCTTTAGCCTGGCAATATCGTTAAACACGGAGGCTAGGTGCTGGAACTTGGGTTCCCAACTAAGGAAGTAATCCCAGGCATAGCTGCCCATGGCACCATCAGCAGAAGCTGCCCGGGTGGAAGGAGCTGCCCGCCTTCCCTCCTGGCTGGCCGAAGTCAAGGACTCCTTCCTGCTATCGGCCAAGACACCTGCTTTTGCCTCTCTTCTTTGAGATAACGCATCATTTTGAACATAGACTGTGCCACAGCCTGTCCCTCCATCTTCTCCCTCAAACACGTGGCTGGCTTCCACCGCCTCGGGACTAGCCATCACATCTGTCTCTCCCGACAGGCAAGAGAGCTGATCTGAGTCCCTGGGGATACCCGAGTCTGGCACCCTGGACTCCCGGTCACTCAGCACAGAATCTGAGTCCTTTCTATAAGGGTGTTCATTTATCCTCTGGATTTCTTTATCTTCTGCAGTTTCTCCGTCCACAGAGCAGTGAACACTGGAGTTTGAGTGCCTGTACAGGTGCATAATGTCCTTCTCCATGGCACTCATGAAGCTCAGCCATTCAGCCGGCATAGTTTCACCAGTCCCTGTCAGATCCCTGAACTCCACGGCCGGCTGCCCAGCCTTGAGCTGGCTTGCAGCCCCAGTCAGCCTGAGATCATCATCTGGGGGCGGTGGCGTCTTCTCCTCGCAACTGTGTAGTGGGTCTTTTTGCTTATGCCTTAAAATCAGTACGATTAGGGTGCAGACAAGCAAGAGGAACACTAAGAAGGAGACCACGAGGCTGATGGAGAAACCGTGACCAAAACCTCTTCTGTGGTGTCCTTCAGATGGCATAGAGACGTTCACAAACACACTGCAGGATGTGGACCTGGAATTGGACTTGGGACCGTGTGCAATTATTTTCACCTCAAGGTTGTCTTCTTTGTTGAGCTGACTGCTGGTTAGAAAAGGGGCTCTCATCCAGTAAATATCGCCATTCGTTTTGTTGACTGAAAAGAGAGCGGATGGAGAGCTGAGGGAGTAAAGAACGACCCCATCCATGCCTCCATCTGCATCTGAGGCCTCCACTCTGCCAATCAGCTGTCGCCCTCGACCTTTCTCAGAGAGACTGAAAAAATATCGATCTTGAGTAAAGATGGGTTCAAACTCATCTATCCCTTCAACTTCCACCCAGACCTCCAGGGAAGCCGTGGCACTGCCTCTGTCTTTGGCCTGAACCACCAGGCAGTACTTGGCAACACTTTCGTAGTCCAGCACCTGATCAGCTCGAATGTCCCCTGTTAAAGGGTCAATGACAAATAGATCCTGATAGGGCTGCATCTCATATGTGGCATGGCAAGGTGACGAGATAGAGTAAGTCACTTCTCCGTAAGGTCCGGCGTCGGAATCCACAGCATGGACAGAACACAGGATGGAGGAAGCAGGCATGTTTTCAGGAGTGACACAGGTCAAGGTAGAGGACATAAACTGAGGTGTGTGGTCATTATCATCTAACACACTGACACGCACAACAGCAAAAGAAACGTGTTTCTCTTCTTCGTCAGCAGCCTGGACAGTTAACGTGAAGGTTATCATTTCCTCATAATCCAGAGGTTTCACCAAATAAAGAACCCCGGTCCTTTCTTCTAAGTAGAAGTGTTCCTTCTCATTTCCAGAGAGTATGCCGTAGATGACTTCCGCATGTGAGCCCATGTCATGGTCATCTGCTGACACCACAGTGATGTGACTCCCCACGGGAGTACTCTCCTTGACATGGGCGTTGTACTGCCGGCTGTTGAAGATGGGTGGGTTGTCATTGACATCAAGAACGTCTATTTCTATGACAGTTGTGGAACTCAGAGGCGGGCAGCCGTGGTCGGATGCTAGGAGGACAAGCTTGTGGCTGGCACTGGCTTCTCTGTCCAGAGCGTGAAGTAACACAAGAGCACCGCCCTGCTGATGGGGGTCATCTGAATGAAGGAGGCTGGTTTCAACATGGAAGTGGTTGTGTACGTTGCCACTGACGATGGAATATTTGGTGTGTGTGTTTTCAATAGTGTAGTCACGGTCGAGAGTTGAAAAGGTCATGAGAGTGCTTCCAATGGGAACATCCTCACTCAAGCTAAGGTTATAGTGCCCCACTGTAAACTCAGGGGCATAGCTGTTCACATCTTGTATTTCTATCTCCACTAACGTAAGACCCCTCAGGGAGGGAACTCCACCATCATTGGCTTCAACAAGAAATCGAAATGTTGGTATTTTATCCAGAAATGATACAGCACTGGTAGTAAATATGGTGCCTGAAAAATAAGACAGCGTGTCAAATTTGTGAGCCAAATGCTCAAGACATACTTAGCTAGTAAGTGCTGAATGGATATGGAAGTGTGCCCTGTTCTTTGCTGAGTGTGTCTAGTTACAGCCAAATAGTGCAACTAGATTTCAAAATTAGCACTCGGGGGCAGAGGCAGGTGGATCTCTGCGAGTGCAAGGCCAGCCTGGTCTACAGAGTGAATTCCAAGACAGCACGGGGTGTTATACAGAGAAACCCTGTCTCGAAAAAAGTATGTGCAGAGATATCCTAGCATAAGATAACTATTCTGAGTTGGGTAAGGCAATGAATGCCTATAATTCTAGCACTTGGGAGGTTGAGGCAGGAGGATTGAGAGTTTGAGACTAGGGTAGGATATACACTGAGACCTCCTCTCAAAAGTAAAAGTGAAATGGCTAGGATATTCAAGCATTCAAGTGGTAGAATGTGTTCCTCTCAACACGTGCACGCACACACACACACACACACACACACACACATACACACGCACATGCAAGCATGCTCTCTGTCTCTGTCTCTGTCTCTGTCTCTGTCTGTCTCTCTCTCTGTGTCCACAACACATACAGATGGCGAATTACTCTGGAAATAACTCCAGCCAAAAGAAAGCAGTGAAAATGTTAGTGTGCAGCACTTAATTACACAGATATCATTTCTCAAGATCATGAGTTAATTCAGCAAGTGACATTTTCTCCTTAATGATACAATATATCAAATATCTCTTATTTGTGGTAAACATAGAAATACATGACATTTACAAGTGTGTACAAGATGGCATTTTTATTAAAGTGTTTTAAGTGTGCTTACTAAAAATAAATGTATAATGGTGCAGTTTAAATGCCACATTTCAATTATAGTTATACTGCGAACCAGATCAACTTGATAGCAATTACTCAATTAAGACATTCTAATCAACACTGAGGCAATGTTTGTGCAGAGCACCCATCAGGCCAGAGTGCGTCCTAGAATGAAGTTTTCAGGGGCCTGATTTGCACACCCTGTTATCCGTTGATCCAGGACAGCAGTCGCCAGTGAATGAACGTCTATGAGATGAGAAGGAAAAACTGAGAGACCCAGACAGACCAGGCAGTGAAGTTCCTAGCAGTATACTTACATCATGGGCATGCATCTGCAAGTTGTGCGGCATTTCTTATTTCTCTCATACAAGCACCTGATGAGTCTTCTTCTGATGCTCTAGACCTAAATTCTTCTTTCAGTAATTCCTTACACCTAATTTTAACCCCACCTCTCACTTGGAAATGATGCTGTGGTGGGTAGAGATGAGACCACAGTGTGAAGTCGGTGTCTATTCTTTTCTAGAGTGTGCCCTGCTAGGACACTCTGGTGCTGATTAGCCTTCTTTATTGAGTTTAGCATTCAATGGTTGTTCACTGCTAGTGCTCCTTGTACCCTGCCTAAATATTTGAGTGGGCAGTTTATCCTCTCTGATAAAAACACAAAGGACCATGGAAGATACCACATGAAGCAGAACAGCACACTGGCTTTCTATTTGGTAGAGATGGACACTAAATTGTTTTTAGTGTCTTTTTAAAATTATTCTTGTCTTTAGTGAGTATATGATACTATTGCTATTTTTTACTAAGCTGTTTAAACACCGTCTCCACTCTAGTTGTATGAAATTCTCATTAATGAACTGATCCTTTTGACGTTATTTTGATTCTTGCTGAGTTGCAGAACATCTCCCTAAACTCTGTTGGCTGGACATGTGAACTTGGGCATCACTATATTGGTGGTGGTGGGGATGTCTCTACATTTCTTCCTGTTGAGCAGCATTTAACCAACATCCTTTGTTTTCTAGTCACTGAGATACTGAATAAGCACAATGCTACTTCCCACTGTAGCTAAGAAAGCAATGCCCATACCTGCAGTGAGTGGAAGGAGTGGGGGAGGACTGTGTTAAGACATGATGATCCATGTTTCTCTACTGTCACCGGGCTGCACTAGCGTCACTGTAGGTAACTCACCATTCCGGGGATCAATGGCGAAGCCCTCAGAAGAGGAAAGGACCCTGTAAGAAATGTTCTCACTGCTTTCTAAGTCTGTGGCAGACAGGGTCAGTACCGAGTACCCTCCAGGAACTAGCTCAGGAACCATAACCTGAGGACAAGAGAGGACAAAGGCATCATGTGTACAAATGTGTATCTTTTTCAGGAGTAGGAGCAAAACCTGACATCTTGCCACTTCTTCTTACTCAAGAAACTACCCAATTTGCCTTTCATAGGCCTTGTGGTGGGTTGACTGGGGTGACACTCCTGAGAGGTGTGGCCTTGTTGGTGTAGATGTGGTCTTGTTGGAGAAAGTGTGTCACTGGGGTTTGGCTTTGGAGTTTCAAAGCTCAAGCCAGGCCCAGTGTGGAACTTTCTCTTCCTGCTGCCTATGGATTCAGCTCCCTTTTCCAGCACTGTTTCTGACTGAATGCTGCCCTGCTTCCCACCATGATGACAATGGACTAAAACTCTGAACCTGTAAGCCAGTCCCAGTTAAATGTTTTCTTTTATAATAGTTGCCTGTGGACATGGGGTCTCTTCTTAGCAAAAGAACAATGACTAAGACAGACCTGCTGATATATGGAATTGATACACTGAAACTATTGATTATGTTAATAGTCCCTGGGTTCAGAAAACAATCTTAATTTCACTCAATTTTGGTTTTTACCATGAAACATTTTCTTTCTAGAATATTACTGAATGACAAAAGGTAGTGTAATCGAGTCGGGCGGTGGTGGCACACGACTTTAATCCCAGCACTCCGGAGGCAGAGGCAGGCGGATCTCTGTGAGTTTGAGGCCAGCCTGGTCTACAAAGTGAGTTCCAGGCCAGCCTCCAAAACAATACAGAGAAACTCTGTCTCAAAAAAAGAAAAAAGGTAGTTCAATCACTAATTTTATATCAGATGCATTAATTATATCACTTAAGAAAGGCTTCATGGAGGATGGTTACTTAGGTTAAGTTTTCATGTTAACCTTCTTTCCTTTGCTGAATTGAAAAGACATAATAGAAGTAGTCACTATCCTGACTTCTGTAAATATACACCCTGCCCTAAAATCTAAATTTCTGGACTTGCTCACAATCTGTTTGTGTGAAATGTTAATTCCTGTATTTCAAAGAAAGAATCTGTCCAAAGTATCATTGGATAGTGTAAATTAGCTCATCTTCTCTGTGGGCACATTCCAATTGTTGTGAACAACTGAACTCCAACCACACACAGACACAGAACATATAAAAGGCTGGTGGTCTGCACACTCAGTAAACTGAAACGAATGAGCCAAGTAATTCCTGTTGATTACTAGTCTATATTATGATAGATAAGCCTGCATCATTAGCTCAGGATAAACAATAGTGAATATTTTTAAATGATTTATTTATTTAATGTACATTGGTGTTTTGACCACATGTATGTCTGTATAACGGTTATAGACAGTTGTGAGCTGCCATATGGGTGCTAGGAATTGAACCCAGGTCTTCTGGAAGAGCAACCAGTTCTCTGAACCACTAAGCTATCTCTTCAGCCTGAACAACAATGAATATTAATAGCCTGTCTAAACCAGACCATCAGTGACAGAAAGCTGATATCACTCACTGTTATTATTTATCTTATTTTATGTGTATAGGTGTTTTTTTCTCCTGTCTGCCTGTGCCCCATGTACATGCCTGGTGTCTGTGGAGCTCAAAAGAGGAGATTAGATCCTCTGGATCTGGAGTTATGGAAGTTTATAAGTCCCCACATGGGTGCTGGGATAGAAGCAGGTCCTCTGGAAGAGCAGCCAGGGATCTTAACCTCTGAGACATCTCTCAGCCCCACTCCCCATACATTCCTTTTTCATTTCTTTACCTGATAGAAATCTTGAGAAAATACTGGTGGGTTATCGTTGACATCCAGCACACGGATGAGAAGGGAACCCTCTGTGTGGTGCCACGAATCAGAAACGTGGATGATCAGCTCATATTCAGCAACATCTTCAAAATCCAGTGTTTGCACCAGCACCACCACCCCAGTGTCCTGACTGATAGCAAACTTAGCTCCGCAATTGCTCTCTTTGACAAAACTGAAGGTGAAAGCTGGATTCAAATCCGCATCATGAATGGATACCCGAGACACAATTACACCAGGCAAAGAATCTGCAATCATCATGACCAATGTCAGCTTCCATTAACTTCATCATCAAAAGACATTTCTTCAATCATGCAACCCAAGTATTTTCATTTTAAACCTAAAATGATTTTCTTTTTTTCTGGCATGATTTCTCATGTAAAGCTCATTATGGGCTAAATCAAAACACAGAAGAATTTATAAGTCCAATAAAAGTGAAAATCTACCACAGAGTAGAAAATTGAGGAAGTAGACTATACTCTAGTTTTATATTACAGTTTTCCACCATATGCTTACAGCACAACTTCAGAATCAGAAACCATTCTGAGCACTTTCCTGTAGTGTATAGTTTCTAGGTCTGACTATAGTTTCTATGTCACAAGTGTATAGGGAAGAAGGACATTAGTTAGAGCATTAATACAAATATTATTCTCTGAAAACTGGCCAGAACTGAATGAAAATACTTGGGTAGAAATATAAGATTCAGTACTTATCTTCTAGAAAAAAAGAAATAAATTTCTTTGATAGTGATGTAGGCATTGCTTTCTTCTCTTAAATGTGTTTCTCAAAACTAAAATTCCCAAGGCTAATGAAAAACAAAGTATTCTTGGTGCTCAGTGCCTCATGCATGCCTGGGTTCACAACCTAAGCCACTCATGAAAGGAACTTTATTCCCATGAGTCTAGCATAGTGAAGGTGGTAAGTATCTGCCAAGAAATTCAGAATTGTTCCACTATCTATGGGATTCATAATTTACAGTCTTCATATCTGGGGAAGAGTTCTTGTTAAATACTAAGATCACCTTACCCCATTCAATAGATTTTTTATTTATGTAATTTGTTCTTATGATATATTCATACCAGTTGTATTGATATATTTTAATATCAATTCATGTGTTTGGAAACAGGACACAATCCATTAAATTAAACAAAAATATCAAAAATGAGAGGTAAACCTGAATATGCTTCGTTTGTAGAGAGCAATAGTTATAGGCATCCTCGTGTTTAGAGATTTCTATGGAAAAGAGACAGTATCACCTGTTTAGAATGTGAAGACAGCAAAATGTTCAAATTGTTTTAAGAATGGCTTTGGTATGAAGATAGAATGCAAAGGGACAAAGGTCACCATCACTTTCTACTTTGTCTTTAGGAGGATAGGTTGGCTTTATTGTGGGACAACTTTGGGTTCACAGACTATGGAGTCATTGCATAACAAATGACCCAAGCAGCCCAGCACTAAAACCATCATGTTTTTAGTCTCAATCAGTAGTGTAGTACTGATGCTGAAGGTTGGGTTATGCTAGAGGAAGTTTTGACTCTGCGCATTATTATATTAATTTCATTAGCATCATTAGCATCCTACAAAAATCATCAAAGCACAGGTGTAACAGCATCAATACTCAGAAGGGTCAAGTGATTATTACACCAACAACATGGTCTTATTCCTGGAGTACATTTAGTGTTTAAGAAACATCCATCTGTATATGAACACACTATAAGAAATGATGGAGGTGAGGGACTCGGCCTCCAGCCCATCTGAATGCAAATCCAAGTTTTATGATTTAAATCCCTTGACACTTGATATTTTCCTTATGACCATCTGTGGTTTATTCAATAAAGCGAAGACAAACTTACCTGGCTAGCATGGCTGTGGAGAACTAGTGCTCAACACAACATCTGGCTGTAAAAAAAATGTGTAAGTTAATTAAACGTTGATTCCAAATTGCCACACTTACTTTCCGCAATTTCTATTGCTTCTGAGGGGAGAAAGACTGGAGCATTGTCGTTTATGTTAATCACCTGTATCTTGACCAGAGCCGTATCAGAGCGCCTGGGCACCCCTCTGTCTGTGGCTTGCACAATCAAGCTGTTTTGGAAAAGAATCAAGGAATGTTATGAGCCATCTAGGAAGTATATAAAAACATAAATATCAAATCTAGTTTAATTTTTATATGAATTCACTAACTTATTTTTCTCATGGTCTTTTCTAAATAACATCATTTACAATTTATTTCACAAGAATGGTAGCTTGAAATGTATGCATTTTTGACAAGTTTCAAGAACAAACTCCAGCAGGCTGCCAGGGTCATGAAGTATTAATATAAAAATAAATCATAATTTCTTGGAAACAGACTTTAAAGTTCTACTAAGAATAACCTAAGCAATGCATACACCAACAACTGTGCCCACTCTACTGCATGGGCATTGCTGCGTATTTCCATCTAATTGTACCATTAAAATATGCTGTCAAAATAATGGCCATATATGGATATTTTTCAGGTCCAAGTTTCTAACCAACCAACACTATAGGCTTGGGAGAGCTTGCTGCCATGATGAAGGAATGACTGGGTCATAATGTGCTCAGACTCTGCAGAGAAAGGAGTAGGTTTTGCAGGAATTCAAATAATACGATGTAATCTCCCCAGAGTGGTGCTGCAATGATTCTTCTACCACCCAAACTAGAGCAATTACTACTGGCCCCAACTTCTCACTTTCCCCCACTACTCTTCTAGCATGATCCAGTTGTTAAGTCTGGTCAGTTGATCTCTTTGACGACCCTTGTATTAGTGCTCCCTCTGTTTTGTCCCTACCTTTTCTCTTTTCTTTTTTTTTTCATTTAAGTTAGAAACAAGCTTGTTTCACATGTCAATCCCAGTTCTCTCTCCCTCCCATCCTCCCCTGCCCTCCCCCCCCAGTCCCCTACACAATCTCCATTCCCATCCCCAGGGAGGGTGAGGCACTCCATGGTAGGTCTCCAGTGATTGTCATTTTATCCAGGGCAGGGCCTAGGCCCTCCCCGCAGGAGTCCTGGCTGAGAGAGCATCCCACATTATGGCATGGGCACTCAAAGTCTATTTGTATGCCAGGGATAAATACTACCCAAGGCCCCATAGTTTACCTACATCTCCTCACTGACACCCACATTCAGGGGGTCTGGGTCAGTCCCATGCTTTCCACACAGCCATCAATCTGGGGTCCAAGAGCTCCCCTTTGTCCCTATCTTAAGAGTCTCAGGTAAAATGATCAACAACCCTGCTTAAATCAAGGACCTAAGGGTTTCCTAGAACATGGAAATACAGTGTTTTCACAGCCAGTGATGCCAAGACCAATTGGGAGTTGAGATTTTTAGCACTAAATCCAAAAAATTATGGGATTTCCTATCCTGGACATAGAGAAGTGTGTGTCCATGCTAGCCAGTCTCTGCTCTCATTTGCCTGAAATGCTGTCTGTGTTTTGCATCCTTATGGCTTGAGAGATGGTGCAGTGTTTAACAATGTAAACTTCCCTTGAAGAAGATCCAAGCTCAGTTTCCAACACTCACGTCTGGTGGCCCACAGCCATCACTGATGCCATTTGGCCTCCGCAGGCACCTGCACTCATACTTCTTCCCGCCGGACATGCGCATAATTAAAAATAGATGTGTAATAGTTTGAAAACCCTGGACACCTATTTAAACATCTGCTTGGCTCTCCTTGTTAGGGCCATTCAAACTCCTGAGGAAATACAGCTGACCTGAGAGCCGCCTCCTGCCTGCTGCTCCTGTCCCTACACTCTGGTGGCCTCTCAGTGCTCTCATCAGTAAGGTTTCCCGGATTCTCGTGTGATCTGAAAGCCCTTCATGACCACAGCACACTGCACATTTTTCGTCCACAAGAGTTATCTTTCTGATGGTTTACCCGTCTGCCTCTACTATGAGTTCCTTTACGGCAGGTGGATGTCCTACTGTAATAACTTTTTTTTAATGATTGTTGATGTTGGCTTCTGAAGATTTTTCTCCCCATGGTTAGAGATTTATTAAATGGTAGAGCCGGAATTCAATCTCACATCTTGCTCAACTCAAAATCTGTGCCCCTCCTAATGAGCCCCTCCCTCAGAATGCTTCCCATGATGCATAGAGAGCACATAACCAGAGCTTCTTTTTCATTTTTTCTCTAAGTGTTGTGAGAGTCCGGGGGAGAAGCGGGTACATTGTAAAGCAAGCTGTCAGTCAGAGTAACAACTTTACTCCAGAGGCTATAAAATGAACCCTGTATTCCAGAGGGTGTCGTATGAACCAGTGACGGAGACTACTTTTTAAGAAACTGGATCTTGAAAGTAGGCACACTCACTCTTCCATTGCTAGCGCCTTGTAGGTGTCTTTTCTTTTCTGATCTCAAATTTTAAAATGGTGTGAAATAAGTCTCAATCTTTCTTGTTTTGAATTGCACTAAGAGCAAACAGTCACTGCTATTGTTGGTGAAGCCCAAGTGCTGTCTTCTACACCCTGGGGGTTGGGATAACAGTGGAACCCCAACTCAGGTGTCACAGGGATGGCTCTAGGTGGAAGCTTGAATTGTGAGCATGGCCATTAGTCAGGTCCATGTGGGAGTATTGTTGTGAGAGGAATCAGCTCAAAATATTTTTCTTCCACTGCTGCCTGCCCCTTGCCATGTGACCTTAAGTTTCAGCCAAGACATCAGCGTCAGATTCCTGTCAACTCTGCATTGCTGTTACAAACACCCTTATTCTCAAAATGCCACAATCGCAGGGTTCTGTGCAATGCCTAAGTCAGGCAAAAAGACAACTGAGCTTCTTTGACATGGAGGGTAATTTCTTACTCTGTTTCAAAATGAGAGGGCGAGAAAAGGGTAGCCTCTTGCTGCTTGGAAGAGCAGATGAGAGAGCAGCGATTCCGAGCCTGTGAGACCTCAAGCTCTCTGAAGGCTCCTTGGCAGTCTTTGTGAAGCTGAGGATTGCAGGCTGCTTGTCTGGCTCCATGTAGCAGAACCGTTGCACGGAGCGGTGTCAGCTGAGGCCGCAATAGAACTGACCAGATTTAGAACAGGCCTGTCCTAAGGCCAGAACGTCTTTTCCTGTTCTTCCAGGACAGGAAGCTTCTCTCACCACAGTCCACTTCAAATGAGGTCTTTGACCAGATAAGATCTCACTTAATTTCCTTGAAATGTTGACATTGTTGGCAGAAGATACTGAAAAAGTTCTCTTTCCACTTTATCTCAAATGTCTACCGAGAGAATTTTCTGTTCCTTCTGAAATTTTAAGAAAAGTAAAAATGACAGCTAATACCAAAAACAGCTATAAAAATAATTAGGATTTCTGGTGAAAGATGGTAAGATTGCCTCTCAGATCTGTCTCTTCTTCCCTGACTTCTACTGAAGGGCAGCTAGGACATTTAAAACTATGCAAGTCCGCAAGGCTAAAGCAGAAAATAGTTAAACAAGTTGGAAGTAGAAGATGCCATGGATGGATTTAGGTAAGCGTGTGTGAGGAAGCCAGAGATAAGAAGATATTTAAAGATACAGCGCTATAAACTGCCTCAGGTCCATGTATTAAGTATGTTTGGTTAATTACTTGCTTTACATTGTTTATAGTAAATATATGCATATATTTATGTGTCTGTGCATTCATGTGTATATGTTTATCTTATGCAAGGTCTTTATTCCATGATCTTTGATCATTTTCGTCTCCTGATGTATATGCATGAATCATCCAAGAGAAGTAAAACAAAAGTTAGCCAAACAAAGCAAGGTGTCTAACACGTGAAAAAGGTCAGTGTCTACTGAACTCTCGTTCAACAGGGTCCATAGCAACAACCAAAAATGGCAGACATCAAAACGAAAACAATAATTAAACAAGAAAACGGGCAAAGGGGGTGAAATGCACAATGAAATCATGTATGAGGATAGAAAGAAAAGGTCCCTTATTCATAAAGAACTTACTCAGCTCAAGAAGAGACCCATGTTAAAGAATATAATGAGGGTCAGTGAGATGGCTCAGAGAGTAAAAAAAAGCCCTTGCTCACCAATCCAGATGACCTGAGATGAGTTCCTAGGACCCATAAGGTAGAAAGAAAAAACCAACCACACGCGTGTCCTCTCACCTCCATTCTCATGCTATGACACGCTCACACATGCAAACACGCATGTGCGCGCGTACACACACACACACACACAAATTAGTGCCCAAAATTAAAAAGAATATAGTGATTTTAAATATAATAAGTAAAAAGAAAAAACCTAAACTGTTCTACAGAGAAGGGAGAAAATTGCATACGTTAAAGACGCTGAAATTGTACAAGGGTTCAGAAGCAAACAGATTTCAGAACTTAGAATAGCAATGCCTTTCAAAGTCAGAAAGATATTTTTAATCTCTATACCATCACACACACACATATATGCTTATATATTGTTGAAAGCATTTGCAAATGTACAAGGGCCCACATAATTTGCTTCTATGGCAGAGAATGGGCAGTTAGCTTCTCAGCTTTTGCTTCTCACAGTTTGGAGTTAATTTATTCATGGGGAGTTGGAGAAAGGCCTTTTTAAATATTAGGACTAATTTAAATGTTGGGAACATGACGCAAATAGGAAAAAGTTGAAAAATATTAGGTTTAATTACTAACTAAGCTCCATTGAGTAAGAATTCTGTAACAGAAAGCCTTCACAATTGGAAATTGCTTAGTTCATGGGAACGAGAGACTACCAGTGTCTCTGAAATTACTGAGATCTGTGCCATCAGTGACAGAACACTTGACTTGAGATTTACCTGTGGAGGGGAAATGCTTCATGCTGAAAATTACTGTGACAGCAATGATACAAAAGAGTTCTTTTAATGAATTTATACATTAAGCACATTAATTTTAGTAATTACATTAAGATATTACAAAACATTTCCCAACTGCTAACTTAGGATAAGGTTTTAAACTTTTAAAAATACCTTTGAAGTAATATTTTGAAATATGGTAAATCACAAAACAAAACACTTAATCAAGCTTTCAGAGTTGGAAGGGTTTTGGGGTGGTTAATTAGTCCAATCCACTCAATAACGTATTTCATTCAAACCAGCTTTCAGTGCTTAACCACATAAATATACTGTATTTTCCTGGTGAAACATGAAAGTCGCCTCAAATATTGACACAGTCTTTTGTACTTATTTTTTTTCTTAAACAGAATGCTGTTCTGTAGCTTGTATGGTAGAAACCGGGTGATCGAGGTTCAGAATCACTGAGTATAAGTCTAAATTTGATCCTCAAATAGTATTGTGACCCAGAATAAGCCACACTATGTAACTTGCATTGTTAATACATAAAATATCCGCCTTCACTTCATATGAAAAGGCTACAAGGCTTAAATGAAACACAGTAGCCACACCCAGTATCCATGTTTTGTTTTTGTTTTCAAAGTTTTAATTACTCATGGCCAACCACCATCCAGAAATATTAATGGAAAATTCTAGAAATAAACAAGTCATAAGTTTTAAATAGCTGCAACTTTGAGTGTGTTGGTGATGCTTCACATTACTGTACTCTTTTTCCCCCAGAATATCTATTATTTTTCTCTCAATGTATCCACACTGTATATATCATCCGCCCCTTATTCACTTACAGCCATCAGCTATATAGCTGTGTTTCTGTTCAGGTAATTCTTGAGTTACTTATTAGTTAGGTCAAATCACAAGGTAGTGATTCAGAGGATCCCCCAGTGCATAAAACATGGAAAGAGATTAACCCTGGTACTGTAGGGCAGTATTGCATGGAACTTAGAAACAAAATAAAACAGTATATATAGGGTTCCGTAAGTTGTAGGTATTCAGTGAGAATCACAAAACACATTCACATTCATACACTGGGAATATATTTGCATAAACACTAGGTGAGCTCAATTCCTGTAGGGGAAAACGACCTAGTCTATCCTATCATGAATAAGGAGCAACTACTATAATACATGTGCAAGGATTTTGGAAAAAACTCATGAAAACAACACTATTACAATGAAAACCAAACATAAATGTAAACAAGAAATACAAACTTCCTATTAGGCTGTCCTGCTGGCTCTCTGGAGACAAACAATACTAACAGCTTCTCTGAGAAGTGTTGTAAGTAGAAGAGTGCTCCTTTTCTGGGATGGTCACGCTGCATAAACACTGGGATGTCCCATGTTATTCCCTGCACTTGCTTGAGGTGGGAAAGCACAGGGAATGCTTCGGTGATCTGTACTGCTCTTGACTTGCTGTCTGTATATACATGCTTCTGGTTTCAGTAATGCACTTAGCAGCCTAGCTCCTTTACACACACACACACACACACACACACACACACACACACACACTCACACCCTCCAAAATGAAAACATGGCCAGCCACCTTGGACAACCCTCCTCTGCATCGGACTGCACACACATCGGTCTCTGGATTATATTTGTCTTCCCCTACAACAATCTAACTTAGCCAGTATCTACACAAATACATTACTAACACACTAATTCAATGGTTTTGGGAGCATTGCATCATAGGGTACAACTGTGTCTTCAGTAAGCTTTTAGGGGGAATCTCCTATTGTTCACCTTATGCCTGTGCACGACTGGGTGTGCATATGAGTCAAGTCAGATGTGCCATGGGAATGGGAATGCACAGTACAAAAATATTATGTGATCTAATTTATCAATCGAACCTTAGAGCTGCCCTCACTAAGCCCACACACCTCTTTCTCTTAAACCCCGCAAAAGGAAGATTCAACAATAGTCAGGGCCCTTGAGATCTTCCTTCAGGTGGCCGCTTCTCCCCTGCAGTGCATATTAACCTTTAGCTTTTTAATTAATTTATTTATTCATTTCATGTGCATTGGCATTTTGCCTATATGTATGTCTGTGTGAGGGTCTTGGATCCTGGAGTTACAGACAGTTGTGAGGTGTGATGTGGTTGCTGGGAATTGAACCCAGGTCCCCTGGAAGAGCAATCAGGGCTCTTAGTCACTGAGCCCTCTCTCCAGCCCCTAATTTTTAATTACATTTTTATTTGTGTGGATATCTTTCCTGTGTGTGTGTCCGTGCACCATCTGCATGCCCACTGCTCTCTCAGAGGCTGTGAGAGGGTACGGGGCAGCACCACCCCCCAGCACCAGCCACAAACTAGAGTCACAGCTGGTTGTGAGCTTTCATATGAGGGCTGGGAATGGAACCCAGGTTCTCTAAAGAGCAGCCTGTTCTCTCAGCCACTGAGCCATCCCCTCAGCTGCACTCTGACCTTTTCTGCTGCTGTGCTTTAAAGAAGCTCTCCTTGGTACCTTTGCTCCCATGTCCGCTCATATTTCAGTTCATTGAATAAGAGGCTCTAGATCCCTGTCCTGTCACTGACCTGCTTTTTAGAAATCAGTTTCTGAGTGTTCTGTTTCCAGAGCTGGGATTCTTTGGGGGAATATCCATCTGTGGGCATTTTTGGTTCCTTAGTTCTTTGCTTTATTGAATAAGATTCTGTAGGAGTCTTTATGTGAGGCTGAACTTTACTAACTCCATCTCCTGAAGTCACTGAGCAAGCTCACAGCCCAGTTACTCTTTTTGAAGGCTGACATCCCTCAGATGCTAGGCCACAATCTTTAATGTTAATGTCAGCTTTTAATAAGGTCATTCTGCTAGACCAAGTCCCACAACAAGGACCCTGATGACAAGGCTGTGCTTTTCACACACACAAGATGAATTACAAAAAGGAATGCTATTCAGTCCTACTCTTTGTGCAAAGAGTAACACAAGTCTTTGCAGGGGCATTTCCACTCAGTGGGCACGTCACCAACACTGTCCTTCGAAACTCTCCCCCTTGGTTCTTAAAAGGCTACATCAAATTTCAGATCTAGCCCAGTCACCTTCTCAAAACAGTGAATATTTTCTAAGACTATTTGAATGTACCTGAAGGTCGATTGTAGGGTGAGAGGCAAAAGCAGAGTTTATCAAACCATTGGTCAGGAAGAAGCAATGGAAGTGTTCTCTAATGAGAAACCGAACACACCTGTAGGAATCGGTGGACTCATAATCCAGGAGAGAATCTGTTGTTATTACCCCGCTCAGCGAGTCAATCTGGAAGGCTTCTGCTTGGTTGCCAGACACAATGGAATACTCAATCAGGCCGTTCAAGCCATCATCCAAGTCAGTAGCAAACACCTGTGAGAAATCAACCTTCCCATTGGAAAAGATTCAACCTGTGATGTGAGCCAAGCCTGCTTCTCAGAGAGGTGCATTGGGAAAGAATACAGATTATCAAATGCATTTAAGAAACAATGCTTAGACCAGAGGTTCTCAGCCTTCCTAATGCTGCAGAGCCTTTACTACAGATCCTCATGCTTAGCGATTCCCCAACCACAAAATTGTTTTTGATGATGTAAGCCTCATTACTGCAATTTGCTACTGTTATGAATTATAATGTAAATAGCTATGTTTTCTGACAGTCTTAGGCAACCCCTATGAAAGGATCATTCAACCCCCTGCATGGGGTCAGGACCCACAGGTTGAGAAACGCTGGCTTCGAGTCATACCAACATACAGCTGACACTTGAATTTGACTTTAATGAGCTGGATAATGGGACAGAAAATGTTCTCACATCCATCTAAAACATTTCCAAATGTCACTCACATGTTTCAAGCTGCAACTTTGTGCAACTGGCAGGTTTACTGAAAACTTCTAATATGCTTGAATGGAAGCTTTGTAGTTCTGCCATGGATTCATGCTGGCACCAGAAAGAGGAAAAGGATGTATAGGAAACTCCGAACACAGAATGCAATTCTTCACTTGATGTTTCTTCTTTACTTTCCATTTTTGCATGTGTATGTAGATTCACACATGTGTGTATGGAGAGCAGAAGTTGACATTAGGTGCCTTCTTTTATTTACTTAGGCAGAATCTCTCCCTACCCTGGAGTTCACTGAGTCAATTAGTCTAGTTAGCCAGCTAACCAGGCTGCCCCATGAATGCCCTGTCTCCCTCTTCTAAAGATGAAGCAGGCTGTCACACGTATCTGCTTTGCCATGCTGTGGGAATTTGATCTCCAGCTCTCATACATGCACAGAAGTGATTTATCTAATGATCCCTCATTTGCCTCTATTATTGATTGGAGCATTTATTGTCTATAAAATAGGCCAGTAGGTGACATTTTACATTATAGTGAAATTTTAACTCAACGGGAACTTTGAAAAGTGAGTCAAACCCTTGATATACAGTTAATAAATTATTTTCCTGATTGTTTATTTGATGAGTTTTCAAAGTAGCATTAAGGATAGAACAAAGTGTCTGTATCATTTCCCATGGAGATATATCACAGGGTTGTCTATGCCGAATTTCAATCAGTAATCCAGTTGTATCACTGGAGTCAAGACTTTTAACATGAACTGTTTTAATTCATGCTTACTATATCCGCTGTGGCTCTGCCTCAGCTCACATCCCTTGTCATCTCCTGAGCTCCTATACTGATTCCCTGGCTTTGTTCCTAGTCACTTCTCAGCTCATTCTTCAAACTTCTGCCCAAGTTCTCCGAGGGTGCTGAGGACCATGCGGAATACACTGGACCTCATCAGGAGGACATTCCAACCCACTCTGTGGTATAGAAAGGCCACAGCAGCCTTGAGATCACCAGGATGAGGAACTGGTTTCCAAGTAGGGACAAATAAAGTCACATGTCCCCTGAGGTTGTATAGTTAAACTTCTCCAGGTGGGTATTAGCACTCTAGTGTGCTGACAATACAGCTTCACCAGGGTAAGCTCACCAGAATGTGTGTCAGACCAACGGTGCCTGGGCAAACACATGAAGAATAGGAGTGTCTCTGGGAGCTGTAGCCTGCACCATCGCCATCAAGAGAATGAGCTCTGCTTCACCTCTGTTTTCACCTGGGATTCAAGACACTTTTGTAACCTACAAAGTCTTCCTTAGTGCTCAGGGAGTCCCTAGAGAAGCAGGAGGCTGGGAACTAAGCAGTGGATCAGTGAGGAAAAGTTAACAAAGATAGTTAAGATTTCCTGCAGTCTAAGAATTCATCCAACCTGCACATTGAACATATCCTGGAGACTGATAAAACTGGATTACATCTTGGCATCAGGTCATAGATACTCTGCCATACATCGATTGATATCACACACACACACACACACACACACACACACACACACTTTCTGTTACCTGTGTGACATGAGCATTGTAGAGTTGACCTTCAGAGACTGACGCCCTGTACACACTTTGTGAGAAGCGTGGAGAATTATCATTCATATCCTGGATGGAAACTGCTACTTTGGTGAAGGCTCTATGCCCATTGCTCTCCGCAAAAATGATGAGCTGTACTTCGCTCCTGACTTCAAAATCAAGGGATTTAGGCTCTTCTATGATGAGTTGCCCTAGATTTATTCCCAAGGTGGAAACATTAAAGAGAAATGATGATGTTATTCTGAAGTGTCACAGAACAGCACCAACTCATATGTTCTGACCAGGACCATTATGGAAAAAGTTGGATCCCTAAGGATATTTTCAGCTTTCCAACATTGATAGGCAAATGTCTATAACTTGGGAGCTTTCTCTTCAATCATCCTTTTCTCTTCATTTTTAACCTACCTCAGTGACTGCAAAGTCTACATTTTAAACATTTATTTGAAAAATACCCATCCATCGTTCATTGGGGGAAGGCGTGCTTCTCTGTGCATGAGAAGGCCAAAGGACAACTTGCGGAAGTAGGTTCTTGCCTTTAGCCCTGCTGAGGCATGTGTGGCTTCTCTTATTCCTGCTGTCTTCCCATGCCCTCCAGGCTACCTGGCCCACAAACCTCCAGCAGCATGACTGTCTCCACCACCCTTCTCACAGTAGGGCTGTTAGGATCACAGATGTGTGATTACACTGCATTTGATGTTTTCTTTCTTTCTTTCTTGTTTTTTTTTTTACAAAAGTTTTGTGAATTGAACCTGGAGTTAGACAGGCTTGCGCAGCTCATGCTTGTACCCCCTGAGCTGTCTCCCGGCTCTCGAACATTTCCATAAATCCACTTCCATCTCCATTGTTGCTGTTTTCCAGGAAACTGTTAGCATTTCCCTGCTTGGTTCCCACATTCGCCACTTAACTGATCTCCCCAAGGATCCGGTCTCCATTCTGAACGGATGAGAAAGCTGTCCTTCCCCTGCATGGAACCTGTCAGTGGATTTCCACAGCGTGACAAAGGTGAGTGCCTTTCATTTACAGGGACATGCTGGCTCAGGTCTGCCTGCCTCAGTCTTGCTGGTCATTTCCCCTTCCCTGTCTCTGGTGAGTTTGCACCCATCTTCAGCCGTCTGTGTTTGGGCAGCTGCATCTTCTCTGTTTAGCTGCTGCTTCAGTCTGGTTACTTTTCCTTGGTTGTGGACTGCACTGTGAACACTGCTCTCTGGGACATCATGTCCTTGTGCCTAGCTCATGGACCACTATTCAGTACACTTGTACCCTCATAGGAAATACAGAACCAGGTTGCAGAAGGGAACCTTGGGGGATCATGCCATGGCTCAAGCTTCTTGCCCAAATCAAGAAATTTCTTTGTGTGATTTCTACTGTGTGTGTCTGTTGTAGGATAGCATGCTAATAATGAGTGTCCAAAAAAGAACCATGAAGAAGGCTAGAAATGGGTATTTCCAGGCACATGAAGGCACAAGCATTGCTATTCTCAAGGAATCTAGATTCTATATTAAGAACTTTACTTCCACACTTAGCAACCTTTAAAAAAGTTTATTATACATTTATGTGTCTGTATGTGTTATGGACATGAGTGGAACATCCACAAAAGATACAAGAGATTGTTGGGTCTCCTGGAGCTGGAGTTACAGGCAGTTATAAGATGCCCAGAATGGGTGTTCTAACTCCAGGCCTCTAAAGGAGCAGCAAATGCTCCTAATTCCTGAGCCATCTCTCCGTCCTTCTACTACTTCACTTAAAATGAAAGAAATTCATGGTCATTTTTTTTTGGTTTTACGAGACAGGGTTTCTCTGTTTTGGAGGCTGTCGGTCCAGCCTGGCCTCGAACTCACAGAGATCCGCCTGCCTCTGCCTCCCGAGTGCGGGGATTAAAGGCGTGCGCTGCCACCGCCCGGCTCATGGTCATTTTTGACACCAGATTTGATGTATGACTTTCACAACCCACATCTGCTCGGGACCAGTCTCTTCTGACAGTATTTAGGGTGGCTCTCACTTGGGACAGCTGCAGAGCTGTTGAGATGCATTTTGTGACTGGCAGTGAAAATGGCAAGTTTTCTGTGGTGTAAGGACAGAAGCCTGAGATGGAGGTAGGGCCCCAAACCTCCCCAGACCACACCATCACCAACGAGAAAGTAGAAAGGCGACACCAAGCTGTTCCTGCTGTGTGGGAGAATATGTGCTGCCTGTGGTGCAGATCAGAGTGGAGTTTAAATACAAGAGTTGTTGAGCCTTGGATAACTGCATTTGGAATGGTTCTACAGTCCTAATGCCTTTTGCTTAGTATTCATTCCGGGCATGATAACTGGGACACACTTGTGAAAGTCACGAGATGACTCCAGGCCGGCACACATACTAAGTCCACATTTTGCCTTGCATCACACATGTGAATTTTACTCAGAAACAACAAAGTAGTAGCCAGGAGGGATGTGCAAGCTCTACGACACTGTGCCTGACGCCTGGCCAGAAAGCTGTCTGCTTCGCTATGCCAAGAAGGCTTACAGACGCCATCTTGAAATTTCTGCACATACATCATGTTGTCAGTGGTATAACAACTTGAGAAAAGCCGTGGTGATAATGTCCAATGTATGTACATCTATAGCATTTATCCAAGTTGCAAAATACACATCAAAATGAGATTAAGATTCTTCAAATGGTACTGGCTTGGTAATATAATGAGGTCACTCCAGCCAGTCACACACTGTGGGCACGCATCTGTGCAAATCCAAAGCAGAATGGGACAAATATTTATGTTATTCCCTAGCCTTAAACTCCACTCTGCTGCAACTGTGCCTGGGAAACACTAATAGCTTGATCGCTTTGTTTCATGTCAGTCTACCAAATAATGCCCTGAGTGGGACCATCTGTTATTTACATGACCAACCTTGGTCAAATTCTCAAATCCCTGTGGCCTCAGAATATAATGGGTGTTTTTAATTCAAAGCGACTTGAGATTTAAATACAAAAGTAAACTTTTCATCTGGAACTATGGATTAGAAATTCATCCCATTTTTATCCTTGAGGAAAGTGACTGTATATTTAGTGATCAATTTTACTGATTGTTCATCATTCATATTTGCTTTCCATTTTATAATTCAAACATTCAGAAAATCTATGTTAACTACTTTGGGGCACTTTTAATGATAATGTGTCACAAGTTACATGAAAGATGCATTTTATACCATAATTCTAGTTTTGAAAATCATGTCTTGAGCAGCAATATGGTATATTACACATTCAAATGACACCTGGTGAGACACAAGTGTGCATAATTTGTGTTACACATGCATGGGCATGTCCTTGTGCATGCATCAGAATGTACTGGGAGATGCAATGAGTCCTCAGAGGACAGACCAGGGAGGCAGGCACTGACAGCCGGCGTGAGTTCCAAGACATTCTGTCTCTCCTAATTGTGCAGAGTATAGACTACAAGGTGAGGGAAACATACAGGAGATTATACAAACTACTCGGAAATCTAACAGACAGCAGGAAACCCAATTCTGTATATACTCCAGAGGAGTGGACAACGTTAAAAAACAAAACCAAATACATGGAGAGTTGTTTCTGAACCTCGGTGGTAGCTGAAAAGGGAGTGAAAAATCTGTTCTGAGATTTCCTTAGCTTAAATGTGAATTTATAGTGGCCACGGGACTACCCTGGCAGGAGAGGAGACAGTCCCAGAGACACGATTGATGCCAGACTCTGGATGTCAGTCTATTGAAGGAATGCACCCCAAAGAATCACTACCTCCCCCCAGAATGTCATATTGGGTGGGGGAGGAGGCTGAAGCCCTATGTCAGCCAGAGAAACCTGTCTCTCAGGAAGAGATGTCTCTCAGGTCTGACAACTGTCCAGACCTGAGTCAGGATAATTGCAAATCAAGGCTGATTGGTACAGTGTCCTGACAAGGACTGATTAATTACGTCTGTTACCAGCCTTCTGTTTAAAATGAAACCTCGGATGCAGTAGGGGTCCTAAAGCCCTTTATTTGCTCCTTTGCCCAGTGTAGCCACATTGACTCAGAAATCTGCTCTTGCTTTACACTAGTTCTATTATCTTTAATAGACATATTTGGGTGGGTGTCAGAGCAGTGCTAGCTGGGCCACTGGGGCCTACGACTTAACCTAATTTTTTACTATCATCTATAGTTTCATAGTTATGCATGCTAAGCATAATTAAATTTAGGGGTAGAGAGATAGTTTAGTAGAAGTTTAAACAAAGAATTCAGCGCCTCAAAACTTAGAATATAAGAACCAGAAAATTTCTGATCCCTAAACTCAAGGAAAGAAAAAAATGACATAAAAACATGAAAAGAGGGGTTGGAGAGATGGCTCAGAGGTTAAGAGCACTGGTTGCTCTTCCAGAGGTCCTGAGTTCAACTCCCAGCATCCACATGGTGGCTCACAACCACCTGTAATGAGATCTGGTGCCCTCTTCTGGCCTGTAGGTATACATGCAGTCAGAACACTGTATGCATAATAAATAAATAAATCTAAGAAATGAAACGAGGTGTGGGAGAGAGCCTCAGGGCTCAGCATTTGTCTAATGGGAGTTCCACAACAGATGCAAAGGAGTGACTTTCAGAAAGTGGTTGGCTTCATAGAGTAGCAATGGGAAGCTAGATAGCAGGGCGTTTTACCTTCAGAGACAAGCAATGAGGTTAGAATTATAAAGCTCGCAAAAATGCATGTCAAAAACAAAGACTGAGTATTTATTTTTAGACAACCCAAGTCTGAACTAACTAAAGGAATGTTAAATAAAAAAGACACTAGGGGGGAGAAAAGCCTGAAACTTTACATTTTAAAACACTTGCAATTTCAATGCTTTTGAGACTGCAGCAGGAGGACAATGACTTCGAGGCCAGTCTGTGCTACATAACAAGACTGACACAAAAGAGAGAGGCGGAGAGGAAGGGACAGGAGGTGAGGGTGTGGAGGTAGATGGAAGGAGTGAGTAATGGGGGAAAAAATAGAAGAGTGAGAAATAAAAGTGATAGAGAGGAGAAAGGGAAGAAATGGAAGGGGAGAGGGGCAAGGAGAGGGAGAAGAAAAACAGGATATTAATAAAAAGGCAGATAATTCTATTTTAAAAATGCATATTGTGCCAAATCTAGACACTTGAGTCTATGACCAACAAAAACATATGCTTTGAAAGAGAAGTATTTGGAGCTAGAAGAGCACGTCTCTTCTGTTATGGGAGTGAGGTGTTGTCTCATGTTATACTCCAATCACATATGTTAAAAACTGGATTAACTAATAAAGAGAAAGGATTAATTATACACTTCCCAACAAATCCAGGGAAAATACCATTTACAAATGTGTTGATTCCCTAGTGAATATCCAGGAAAGTGTCAGAATCTAGAAGCTTGCTCCATACAAAGTCAAACGACAAAGGTGAATTCCAAGTCCTTGTCAGTGCTGTCAAAGAATAAAAAACAAGACAGCACCATCACATTTTAGCAGGAAGTTGTATGAAGTTCTTAGGCTAACTGAAGCAAGAAGACAACAGGGTATGTGTCATTCATTGCTATCCCTCCTTGACAGAGGCAGTTTTAGGTGCTACAGTGTTATAATCAAGTCACAGAAGAGACCACAGCATGAGTCTATGATATTTCCATCAAGCTGAAAGATAAACATTAGGTAGAGATTCAAGCACAGTAGAGTAATACACACGAGACTCTAATGTGGTGCCTGGTACCAGCCTCAGGTTGCTGGCACCTGGGGTGAAAGAAGAGGACCCAACGATATGCATATGCTAATTTCCTTGATTTAGCAGCTCTACAGTGTATACGGATTTCTAGATGGCAATAAAGGAAAGAAGAAACAGGGAGTAATGGATAGAGGAGACTGACCAGAAAGGGAAGGAACCCAGGCCGGCTTCCTGATCCAGTAAGGGTTTTATTGTTGTTGATGATTGTTGTGTTTTTGTTTGTTTTGTTATGTTTTTGTTTGTTTGAGACAGGGTCTCTCTACAAAGGCCTGGCTGTCCTGGAACTCACTACATAAGACTAGTTTGCTCTCAAACTCACAGAGATCCACTTGCCCCTGCCTCCTGAGTGCTGGAATTAAAGGTGTGTGTGCCACACCTGGCCTCCTGTAAGGTATTATTTCTAGAGATAGATGACAAATGAATGGGCTTTTAAATATCCATTGTTTAAGAAGAAATGACATGCATTTTATCATCCCATCTTACACATATTTCAAAAATATTTAAGGTAAAGTTCAACATAGCTAATTGCTTAGTCACAAAATACATTTCCATGGGTAAACTCTGATCTAATGATAGAGTTCGTGTTTGTTTAATAAAGGAATCTAAGGCATCAGGAAGGCTACCCTTGGATTTCATAAGTGTGATACGGGAGAAGGGTCTGGATAGCCTGTGGAAATATGCAAACCTTACTATTCTTCTTTTTTCTCTAAATACATTTAATTCTAGTTCTTCTCAAAGACTCTCATACACTGGAACCACGAGGAATGGAAGGTATGGTGATGTTTGCTGCACTGTCCTCTGCTCCACCATGGATGAAGAGATGAGAATGAACAAAAACACTGATTAATGTTTGGGTAGACCAAAAGCCACAGCACCACAAGAGTGAGATGATTTTTACTCAGACAAAACCACTCTTATTTTATCAACACAGGCACATAACATAGATTAAATAAAGCATCTCGTCTTTACCATAATGCAGAAATTATTAGAAATATTCTGGTGGAGATTTGATAATGAGGCAATTCATACATCATTTTTTATGCCTGTGTAATTGGTTGGTGCTCACTTCATGCCGATTTTAACAAACACCCTATTTGTAAGTAATTTATTTAATATCACAAAGAAATTTCCCATGAGTCCTTGAGTTTCCTAGTTGAGATGAGTGGTGAATTAGAGACCCTTTAGTGAAAACTCCCCAAGGCCAGAGTGTGTGTTTATTTTTAAATCAAGCTCAGTATCTTGATCTTCCTAATTTATCTTCAACTTCCCAAACAGGTGCGAAAATTATAAATAAAAACCAATGCACCTCCAAAAACTCAAAAGGATGGACACAGTCTAATTTGGTAACATTAAGAACATAATTTCCAATGACTCTATACATATGAGCAAATACACAGTTTTGGGTTTTGCATAATTCTCATGGGCTGCCATAAGGCAATTCTTATTTACCTTAAAATTATTTATCTCTAACAACTTCCAACTTTTAATTTTTTAATTTATTATGTTCGTATGTATGCCACAAACTCAGCTCACACTCATCCTCTGTGATCCTCTCCTAGTCCCTTCAACCCTGCTGACCCCTTATCCCTAACAAGCCTCCCTCCTACTGTCATTAATTTTGTGAATCCCTGAATTTTTAATTAGCTTCTAATTGCACGGGCATAGGTGGAGGTTATTGACTGGAGGAGAGACTACACCACTATGGAATGACTCCCTCTCTCACAGTCCCCAGCTCCCTGTGCAGGGCTAAGGCATCATGAGCCCCTCCACTGTTCATGGTGGATGGCCGGCAGGCCCATCTTGTGCAGGTCTTGTGGAGGTGCCACAGCTGTTGAGAGCTCATAAATGCAACAGCAACACCATGTTTAGAAGGCAACATTTCAGCAGCCCTTCCCCATTCTTTGGCTCTCGTGTTCTTTCTGGACCCTCTTGCGTCCCGATTCTTTCATATTTTTCAGAATTACTTGTCAGTAATATCAGCAGAGTAAACAGAAGGTGAAGTCATCACATGGTAGAAAGGCATTACCTGAGGTGGAGCCCAGGGAAAACACTCCATCTTCATTCCCACTAAAAACAGAGTATTTAATGGGGTCTGTGAGAGATGCTGCAGTAGAAGCCTTTACAGTCACAACAGAAGTACCTGGAAAGTTAGGGTTAAAAATAAGACTGTTAGGAAATTTCAGGGAAGTGTGAGAGCAAACATTTCACCTATTCCTGTGACAGTCACCGTCTTCGTGAACCATGTCCCATTTGACTACTGCTACGCAGGGACAAGACAGAGAACTCCATCCTTGCCAGAGTTAGGAACTGGTAGAAGACAGACAATGAATATCCCATGTTTATTACTGGATGCAGGGACAAGATAGAGAGGCGACCTCCATCCTTGCAGTAGGTTACGAAGTGGCAGAAGACAATGAGTCATTAGATGATACATTATCAAAGTACATTTCAGATTGTGTGGACCCTCCTGGAAAGAGAGAAACTGGTCCCTGAAGGAAAGCATGCGTTTTTGGTGGAGAAGCAAATCCTCCTTTTAAAAGTGGGGGTGTAGTGAAGGAAAAGCAGTCACACAAGGACTTGGCAGGAAAGGATTCTGGAAGGACAGCAGTGAGGCTGTCTTGGTTTGTTGAATCAGTCCGTTGAAGAAGAGACATCAAAAGAAATCATCAGGGTACAGAAGGGGAGGATGTGATCGCACTTAATGTTGAGTTAAACGTGTTAAGAAATAGAGGGAAAGATTATGATAAGCTTTTAAAAAGACACTCATCTACTGTGTGGAGAACACAAAAAAGATTGATCTGAGACCTGTGAGCGAACACTTACAAATGAAGATGTAGAACTAAAGGACATGCTGTGTGGGTCACTGGGTCACACCACAGCTTCCACAACCAGATCTTTTGGGGTTCTGGGGGTTGTTTTGGGGGGCTTGGGGGGGTTTTGTTTTAATTTTTGTTTTGCGTGGAGGAGGTTGCAGGGGCAAAGGATGGAAGCTGGGACAGTCATTACAGCATCCAGGAGAGCCTATGTGGATGCCATGTGCAAGCGGTGATATCTTCATTTCCCGCAGCCTGAACTTTGTCGCTTTGTTCTCTGAGAGTAGACATAATTTCCACATAGAATCCCCTTAATACTTAATCCTCAAGTTGTATCTGTTTGTATAAATACCAAAGACCATGAGATGGTTTGTAAGATCAAAAGTTCAGTGAGAACTCACTTTGATAAGAGGCACAAATCCACAAATCCAGAAAAACTCAGATAGGATATATGAGTCTCCTTTTCGTGTACATGCCGCAGGAAGGGATGTTCTGGTAACCAAACAGGGTTTCACACATACAAGGCAAAGCATTCTGTGAACCCTGATCTACAACCCCAACTCCCTGACCTCATTTATCCTGAGACAGAGTATCACTAATCCTGAGACAGAGTATCACTAAGTTCCCAGGTTAACTCTGAACTCTCTGTAGCTCTGTACACCTTGTGACCCTTTCACCTCAGACTCCCTGGTCGCTGGGATTCACAGGCCTATTCCACCAGGACATATTGAACCACTCTCATTAGAGATGTTACACTTAACAGAAACTCTGACAAAGTTGGGGGGCTGGTGGAGGGACAAGGGAGGAAGGTTGGGAGAGGGAGCTGGGACTGACATGTGAAACATTCACATTTCTAATTTAAATAAAAACATATATTGAGAAAAAACTCATTCATCTAGATTTTCAAATGACTGTCCTTTCCAACCCACTTGCAAAGTCATCTAGCAATAAAGGAACAAATAGAACAATGGTAGTAACATCAAGTTACCACGCATGTTGAGAAGGCTCCAATTGCAGCAGGAACTGGTGCTTATTGTTCCACACATCAAGAGACATGTGGTTGCTGTACAATGCCTTCCTTTTCTATAAGCTGATGTGCATGCACACACACACCCCCACACACACTGCAGCATGCTTCATCTGTGATGTCAATCACACTTTTGTCCTTCCTTATGCAACTTACTTTTAAGTACAGGAAATTTTATTGCAACTCTGTTGCCACATATCCCTAAGGATGTCAGTCAGAGACAGATAGCTACGCAGGCAAGATGTACAATCCTTGCTGATGGCCTTTATTTCTCCTTGGGTTAGGATGCCTTTTTCCACCCAATTATAAAAGAAAATGAGGACATTACTTGTGCATAAAAGAAAAATGTTGAGTACAGAACTGGAAAATATCACCACTGACCCTCTTATGTAGAAGGAAATAAATCCTGTTTTGTCATAAATCAAATGTTTATAATGTCAACTGGAATTGTAACCCAGAGAAATTTCATTCAACAAAAACTCTTCAAACTAGATGCTAAAGTCAGCAGAGAGCCACAGATGTTTATGTATTTTCTTTCTCTGACAAAATTTATATCTGAAACATCTCTAACAAAGAGGAAATAAGTAAAGGCCTTGATCTTACCAGATCCTGCTTACCCCCGTGTTTTTAATCTGTGGGCACACAGGTAAAACTTAAATCACTCTGCATGGCATATCAAAGTAGAAATAGCAAGCTATGAAATTGTCAATTAACCTTCAATTACAACAAGGAATATAACAAATAACTTACCTTTTGCATTTTCAGGCATTATGAGATATAATTGAACACAAAGTGTAATACATTTAATAGTATTATTTTCCTCTTCTTTACAAAACTTCCATTTAGAAAAAGGCTAATACTACTACAACAGCCATGACCTCTCAATCTGGAAGCACAAATATGTAATTAAATCTACATGAGTGCAAAGATCAATAATTATGGCGATAACTAAGCAATTATGAAAATGACTTACAAACCTATGCATGAGCATTTCTGAGAACTATTCATTATTCCTATGCACATGCATTACTCTTAAAAATAACATTGATGGTTGACTTGAAATAGGCATTTCAAATGGTCCATTTATAAAGAACAGTTTTCTCAGTTCTGGTATCTTTTATTGGTAATTTCAATTTCTTACTTTTAACATCTTGAGTGTGTTCTTTGACCTCTGCTGCCTCCGCGGAGACGCCTCACTGGCCTGGGAGCCTCTTGTGAGGACTTGTCTCCTAGGACGCTTTAGTGTTTCTTGCTTTATTATTTGACAGTTTGATTTTAATGGTTTTATCCTGAAGCCCTTTTGGTTCACCCTAGGCCTGTTTTGTGAGCTTCTCCCATTAGTCTTCCTATTTGCTTGTTCAGATTTGGAAAGTTCTCCATCATTGTTTCTTTACAGAAGTCCTCTGTGTTTCGTCTTCTTTCTCTCTTCTTGCAAGGCTTTCACAATGAATACACTGTTTCACTTTCTGGCACTCCTTAAATCCTTTGGTAGTTTTTAGAGTCCCTTTAGCATTTTGTTCCCCCTGACTGACAAATAGCCTTACATTCTGGTCCACCAATTTTCAGCTTTATTAGCTTTATTAAATCTGTGGTTGAATTTCCCTGGTCAGTTTTTCAAGTCAGTTGTAGTAATCTTAAGCTTTAAAAATCTCTGTTTGATTATTTATTAATAACTTTTTGTAGATAATCTAATCTTCTTTATGCATACCTTACTGGTTTTATTTGGTTTCTCTATCGCTTTTCTTGTGATACATTGATTGAATTTCTTTAGAATAATTACATAAATTTTTTACTTTATTCTTTTGTTTGTGCCCTATTACTTTGTATGCCTTATTTTGTGTTGGGGGATGTTTGTATCTGAAAAGCAGCCACTGCTCCTGGTCTTTACTAACTGGCTTAGTACAGGAAGAGAGCTTGGCCAATCAGCAAGGCTAAAGATTCTGAGAACATCATGAACCTTTTGTAATGATGTCTTCTTTAGGTTTATGCTTGTAATTTCCCTGTTAGAAAAGTTGCAAAGCTTATTAGTCTGTATTTTTTCCAGGAGTTTGTAATATTGATTTTCTATCTGGATGCTTGCTGTCACTTGTGTTGAGCTACGACAAATTGGGAAGGGCTTATTTGTGGTGAAAGAAATAATTTGTATTGTTTATTTCAATATGACTGTTCTTGCTTTGAGCTTTTCTGCAGTCCTAAAACATCTGGGTTGCAATTTCAATTCTTGTGAAGTCTTTTGGGAAACATATTGGCTACTGTCACAATCTCTGTGGGAAACAAAATCTGGGGATTGAGATTCTACTGTTTTCCTGGCATTGCTTCAAAGTTTTCTTCCTAAGGTTCAATTATTGGACACTCAATTCCACCACAAATCTAGCAAAACTATCCTTTATAAATGGAATAGACGCAGACATTTCAGTATAGACGGGAGCTGGGCAATCATAACCACTCTGCATGTCTTACAAGCTATAATGAACAGAGTCCTTCAAGTAGATGTGAAAGGACACTAGGCAGTGAATGGGAGCACGAGAAATCTTAAGTTATCTGGTAAAGGGAAGAGTAGGCAAGCACAAATCTTGTGATATGTCAATGGTGGTGAATAAATTATTCCAAATTCTGATATTTAATTGATAGAAGTCTAAAGTTAGCTGGCAAAGGGGAGTGTAGGCAATCACTATTTTCTGTCAGATATTATTTTAAGTGTAAAAGGATTAAGTTCCAAAACCATAACACACAGACTAGCTGAATGTTTTTAACAACACCAAAAGAAACACACAGAAAATTAAACTTTACTGGTGTATCAAAGGCTCTCTTGAGACACAAGAACATGCATAAAGGAAAAGGATACTAATGAATACTGAACACAAACGAATAATGAATACAAAAGTTCTCTAAAGTGGATAGTAATACTTACATCAGACAAAACAGATTGTAAGTGAGAATTCTACAAGAGACAATGAAATTACATAATGATAGAATGGTCAGTTTTCAGCAAGATATGGAATTATAAGTATATGTACCTCAGGTGATCATAAAAATGTAAGTAGTAGGCTGGGTGTGGTGGTGCATGCCTTTAATCCCAGTACTTGGAGGTAGAGGTAAGCAGATCTCTGTGAGTTCAAGGTCAGCCTGACTTACATAGTGAGTTCCAGGACAGTCAGTATTACATAGAGAGACCCTTTCTCAAAAGACAAAACAACAAAAACACAATATATATCAAACATTACCAAAATTAAAATGAGAAATAGTAAACTAAAATTAGGAGAGGATTTTAATATTCTATTTTCAATAATTAATACATCA